ATAAGCAGGGGATTTGTGGAAGGGGGTTGCAGGGGTTTTGTAGACGGGGCAGTATAGGATTTGTAGAAGGGGCAGGGCAGAGGTTTTATAGGAAGGGCGGGGCAGGGCAAGGGTTTGGTAGGAGGGGCTGACAGCGGTTTTGCAAAGTTTACAAATTGTAAAAAAAAAAGAAAGGAAACCTTTAACATTTTTTACAGGTTTTTTTTGGGGGGCGGGGGCAATGGGGTGCCAAGCACAGGATCCGCCCCCAGGTGCCAAATGCTCTAGGTATGCCCCTGCATCACAGCTTGCTGTGTATGGGGCAGCGTAGCTTCAGACCAGTGAAAGTGCCAATGATGACCCATGTACACTGCCAAATGCTCCTTCAATGGGGATGAGCTGACCTCTCAGTTTGACTTGTGGTCGTCCTCCATGAGCGCAGCAGTCAATTCGGCCCTGTTACGCCCACCAGGCGTTATTCCTCTGGCTCCACACAAGTCCTGCAGTGTAGGTCGCTTTAGAGCACTGTAGTCCATGGGTCTGTTGGAAGGGACATGGGATCCCGCCGCTTGCCACCAATTGAAGCGGGACCTGGGTAACCGATGGTTATACCCTTTGATTAGAATAGGTCAGACCCATTTCCCTAGTAACCGGATGGGACACAGTTCCAGGATACAACGTTTGACAATCTTTATTTGAGTACACAGCTTTGCCTCCTGTTGCCACCTATTCCGCTTCCTCCTCCTCTACCATCTCCTCATCCGGTCAGCGTAACACCTTCACTACCAACTTTAGCATAGCCATGGGGAAACGACAGCAGGCTGTTTTAAAACTCATATGTTTGGGGGGAAAAACCCACACAGCGCAGGAGCTGTGGACGGGCATGGAACAACAGACTGATGAGTGGTTGTTGCCATGGGCACACCCTAATCCCCGCGGCACGCCTGTGAGTCCTGCAGGAACTCGTAGGAACGGCGTTCCCGCTGTTCCTGCAGGCACTCTGCCGCCACCAAATGCCCTCCTCCTCCCCCCGTGTCCCACCTGTTATGGGGGGGTGGAGCAAGAGGTGATGGACACCCCCTGGTAGGGCGCCTATCTCCATACAACAAGTGGCGAGGGAGCTGTGTGCTCTCTGCTTCCTCTTGCCGCGCGCCGTTTGCTGATGCCGGGAGCCGGAATATGACGTCATATTCTGGCTCCCAGCTACAGCAGACAGCCTGCGCGTCGAGAGGAAGCAGAGAGCACACAGCTCCCTCACCGCTTGTTGTATGGAGATAGGCGCCCGACCCACTGTACCCCAGGGACGCCTGGGTGGACAATTTTTAATTAAAAAATAATAATTTGTGAATGTGTGTGTGTGTCTGTGAATGTATGTGTGTGTGCCTGTTTATGTGTCTGTGAATGTATGTGTGTGTCTGTGAGTGTATATGTCTGTAAGTGTGTGTGTGTGTCTGTGAATGTATTTGTGTGTGTCTGTAAGTGTGTGTGTGAGTGTCTGTGAGTGTGTGTCTGTGAATGTATGTGTGTGTGCCTGTAAGTGTGTGTGTGTATGTGTGTCTGTGAATGTATGTGTGTGTGTCTGTGAGTGTATGTGTCTGTAAGTGTGTGTGTGTGTATGTGTGTCTGTGAATATATGTGTGTGTGTCTGTTAGTGTGTGTGTGAGTGTATGTGTGTATGAGTGTATATTATTTTGTTTGGGTGGTGGGAATCTTGGGAGAGTTCCCACACTTTATTCTCCAAGACTTGACCCCTGCCGGCAGGGGAGATCTCCGGATCTCCCCTGTTGGCTCATGCAGAGCTGGCGCTATCTGAGTGCCGGCTCTGCTCTAAGCCTCCATGGGCCGGCGGGGAAGATCTACCTCACCAGCCCACAGCAGCATGGAGGGAGGCAGGAGAGGACCCGGGGAGCTCTAGACAGAAGCTCCTCCAGGTTCCTCTCGCAAGATCTGAGCGTTGCTGCGGCAATGCTCAGATCTCGCGAGAGTGAACTCTAGCCCCGCAGGCTAGAGTTCACTCTCCCTTGGACAGCAAGGATCCCCTCTCCCTACATAAGGTAAGAAGGGAGGGGGGTTATTTACTAATCTGCCCCCACTTTCACAATCCCTCCAAACATACAGCACACACACACATACAGCACCCACACACACACAGCACTTACACACATACAGCACCCTAACACAAACAGCGGGCACACACAGCACCCTCACATACACAGCACACAAACAGCACCCTCACACACACAGCACACAAACAGCACCCACACACACAGCACACATACAGCACCCCCACACACAGAGCATCCTCACACACACACAGCACACTAACAGCACCTCACAAACACACACACACACAGCACCCTTACAAACACACAACACCCTCACACACAGCACACTAACAGCACCCTCACAAACACACACAGCACCCTCACACAAACAGCACACTCACACACAGCACCCTCACAAATACACGACACAAACAGCACTCTCACACACACATATCACACAAACAGCACCCTAACACACATACACAAACACCCTCACACACAGCACACTACCAGCACCCTCACACACAGCACACAAACAGCACCCTCACACACAGCACACTTCCAGCACCCTCACCCACATAGCACACTACCAACACCCTCACACACACATCACACTAACAGCACCCTCACACACACACACACAGCACTCTTACACACACAGCACCCTCACACAGCGCACTAACAGCACACACACACACACACACACAAACAGCAGTATATGTGTGTGTATGTGTATATATATATATATATGTATATAGATATATATATATACATGCGGCGTGTGTTTGTGCTTTAGGGCGCACACCCTAATGCAATAGGCTGCGCACGCCTATGGTTTTTGCAACTGAGCCTCAAGCCCGGCCTGGTGGTGTGTGATAATGGGCGAAATCTCGTAGCAGCTCTGGGCCTAGCCGGTTTGAGGCACATCCCTTGCCTGGCGCATGTGCTGAAATTCCTGAAAAACTACCCATTCGGCGTTCTCACCCTGCTGCTGCTCGCCTGTCTGCGCTGCAGTGTAACTTCGGCCTTCCCGCTCACCGCCTCATATGCGACGTGCCCACAAGGTGGTACTCCACTTTGCACATGCTGGAGAGACTGTGCGAGCAGCAGCAGGCGATAGTGGAGTTTCAGCTGCAGCACGCACAGGTCAGTCGCTCTGCGGAACAGCACCACTTCACCACCAATGAGTGGGCCTCCATGCGAGACCTGTGTGCCATGTTGCGCTGTTTCGAGTACTCCACCAACATGGCCAGTGCCGATGACGCTGCTCTCAGCCGTACTATCCCGCTTCTATGTCTCCTTGAAAAAACGCTTTGGGCGATGATGGAAGAGGATATGGCACAGGAGGAAGAGGAGGAGTAAGAGGGGTAATTTCCACAGTTATCAGGCCAGGTACACAATTGTCCAGCATCTTCACACTGTCCCATGGAAGCGTTCAGCTGTCCATCTCCCAAACACTGGAGAGAAAGAGGATGTACCCCCCTAGCCACCCGCGATCCCTGGCCCTGAATGCCAGCATGTGCTGAATTTGGTGGTGCAGAAATTCCTGAAAAACTACCCATTCGGCGTTCACACCCTGCTGCTGCTCGCCTGTCTGCGCTGCAGCGTAACTTCGGCCTTCCCGCTCACCGCCTCATATGCGACGTGCCCACAAGGTGGAACTCCACTTTGCACATGCTGGAGAGACTGTGCGAGCAGCAGCAGGCGATAGTGGAGTTTCAGCTGCAGCACGCACAGGTCAGCCGCTCTGCGGAACAGCACCACTTCACCACCAATGAGTGGGCTTCCATGCGAGACCTGTGTGCCATTTTGCGCTGTTTCGAGTACTCCACCAACATGGCCAGTGCCGATGACGCTGCTCTCAGCCGTACTATCCCGCTTCTATGTCTCCTTGAAAAAACGCTTTGGGCGATGATGATTGTGGCACAGGAGGAAGAGGAGGAGTAAGAGGGGTCATTTCCACGGTTATCAGGCCAGTCATTCACAAGTGGCTCGGAGGGTGGGTTCCTGCACCAGCATAGGCCAGGTACACAATTGTCCAGCAACTTCACACTGTCCCATGGAAGCGTTCAGCTGTCCATCTCCCAAACACTGGAGAGAAAGAGGATGTACCCCCCTAGCCACCCGCGATCCCTGGCCCTGAATGCCAGCATTTTTAAATTCGCGGCCTGTGAAATGCTGTCATTCCGTCTGGTGGAGACGGACAGTTTTAAAAAAACCTGATGGCGTTATTGGACTGCAAGAAATGCACCGCAGGCCGCTAATGTTTCTTTTTTTTTATATGTCCCAATATTTTGGGGGCTACCCCAATTAAAAAAAAAATTAAAAAAATTAAAAATAAAAAACAGTGTTGGCTACCTCCTCCACCGCCGCTTCCACTTACACCGCCACGGTCACCGCCTCCTCAACCTATGGGTCACTTAGTATAAACTATGTACACATTAGCAGAGGCTTGTGAAGGCCTTTTCTCCATGCATCAGGAGTTGAGCATTTCTCCATGCATCAGGACTGCAAGAAATACACCGCAGGCCACAAATGTTTCTTCTTTTATATGTCCCAATATTTCGGGGGCTAACCCAATTAAAAAAAATAAATATATATCTATATATATAAAAAACAGTGTTGGCTACCTCCTCCAATGCCGCTTCCACCTACACCGCCACGGTCACTGCCTCCTCAACCTATGGGTCACTTAGTATAAACTATGTACACAATAGCAGAGGCTTGTGAAGGCCTTTTCTCCATGCATCAGGACTGCAAGAAATGCACCGCAGGCTGCAAATGTTTCTTTTTTTATATGTCCCAATATTTTTGGAGCTACCCCAATTAAAAAAAACAAACAAACAAATAAAAAACAGTGTTGGCTACCTCCTCCTCCACCGCCGCTTTCACCTACACCACCACGGTCATCGCCTCCTCAATAGTGATGTCGCGAACCGTTCGCGATCTTGCCGCGAACGGTTCGTGGCGAACTCCGGTCAGCTGACACATCCCTGCCAATCTCCGGCAGACCCTCCCTCCCAGACCCTCCCACCTCCTGGACAGCATCCATGTTGAAGCTGCCTTCAACATGGATGCTGTCCAGGAAGTAGGAGGGACTGGGAGGGAGGGTCTGCCGGAGATTGGCAGGGATGTGTCAGCTGACCGGAGTTCGCCGCGAAGGGTTCGTGGCGAACCGCGGTGAACCGTTCGCGGCATCACTACTCCTCAACCTATGGGCCACGTAGTATAAACTATGTACACAATAGCAGAGGCTTGTGAAGGCCTTTTCTCCATGCATCAGGAGTTGAGCTCAGTTTGAATAATGAAAGAGAATACCCTGCACTCCAACCCTCTCTCAAATGGATAATTCTGGTGATCCTCCTGACAGCCATGCTTTAGATTTTGATTTATGTTCTTCCAAAGCTAAAATCAAAGATTCAATCTAGTGCTATTTTATGGCTCAGCTGTATTTTTAATTTTTAGGTATTTAATGTTATTTTAAGTGATTTCCCTATCCACATTTGTTTGCAGGGCACTTGTCCTACTCTTACCCCCATTTTACTTCCTTTTGCAACCCTTTCCAGGACTTGTTTAGAGGCATTTGTGTGCCCAAAAGTTCGGGTCCCCATTGACTTCAATGGGGTTCGGGGTCAAGTTTGATCCCGAACCCGGACTTTTTAAAAAAGTTCGGCCGAACCCGCCGGACCCGAACATCCAGGTGTCCGCTCAACTCTATTGACAGACACACACATGCACACTAACAGACACTCATTAAAAGACACACACTGATAGTCAAACACAGACTCAATGACAAACAGACTCTTGCTGATTTGACAGACAAACACACACACTGACAGACACACTCAGACACTCATATGCACACACATATACTCACAGACAGACAGAAACACACACACACACACAGACACTCACACACACTGACAGATACACCCATACACACACTCACAGACACACACACATACACTCAGTCACACACACTCACAGACAAACTCACTAATTATTAATATTATAATAATACTATTTTTTCATCCTGCCTTCCTTCCTGTCATTGGGGGTCCTGTGGGGCTGCTGTAAGGTGGGTGGCTGTATTGACATCTGAGGCGGCGAGGAAACTGTGATCTCCCTGCTCTGCTCCCTCGTGCCTCGCGGTACGTCTACTGAAGCCAGGAGCCGTAATATGACATGATATTCTGGCTCCTGCAGTATCAGCAAACGGCGTGCGAGGGAGAAGAGTGGGGAGATGACAGCTCCATCTGCGCCTGTGATTCTCACACAGCCGTACGCCGGGGGGGCGGGGGGTTAGGGGAGTGGAAAGAGGAGGTCCATTAAGGTGGCCAGCAGGCCTGAAGCATGACAGAGAGAACACCGGGGACGCCCAAATGGGCGTTTGGGGGCAGCATTTTTTGCGTGTGTGTGGCTCGTGGGCAATTATCCTGCATGCCCATGCATAAAGATGGCTTTGCTTGCTACATGTATTAGTGAATGCACCAGGTGTAGTAAAGCAGATAGCAATCACCTTGGGCCTAGGCCAAACTACATTGCTAAATATACCTAATATAGTGTAGTGTAGCAGTGTATAACAAATGTTAGTTATTTGTAAATATAAAAAGAAAATAGTACACAATGGATTATACTGTTTTACACCACACATAAACACACATGAAATGGTAGTTATTGTTTCAATATTTAAATTTATAAAACAGGAACAAGGTTTTCTGTGAAAACTGGTTTATAGATTTGAATAGCTCAGTTCAGTTAGGCTTTCTCTCCCATAGATAGTATTTGCATGATGGATGTTTTGAAGTTTTTTCCAGGTAATTTTAATGCGGATGTGTTTAAGCTTTTTTCAGTTCTGCTTTTTGTTGAGCTACATTAAGTCTAAAGGATATGATGATCTTTGCGCTTATCACTGTTCATATCCTCCATTAACTGTGTGCAGTTACTATGCGCAATAGCGTTATCTATGGGTGAACACAAGGTAATGCACGTGGCCTGGTAATGTTAGATACGAATTCGGGATTATTCTAACCTTAGTGACTGAATAATCTAAATTTTATTAAAGACAGGAGGCGAATATGCTTTACTTTCTTTACTGTAACTCCCAGAAGCAAAGAAACAGTTAACAGTAAGTAAAAAAAATTAACCAATCAGAGTGTACAATAGAGTATGTCCAGTCATCAGGCTCCTCCCAATTCCTCTTTCTTGATGCAGCTGACAGCCGCAGCGTCAACCATGTAAACGTAAATGGTGGAACATTGAAGAGTTCAAAATGTAGTCAACCATGTAAACGATGTGGGAACGTAGGTAATTCCTCGAGATGGTAGTGAAGGGTTTTCAGACTAGGAAAAAGGAGAGAGAGAGGTTGTGAAAGTATGGTTTCTTGGATAAGAGAAAAACAATACTTAATTACTTTAGCTGATATGTTTCTAACCAAGGTGTACAACAATATTCTGACAAGTCTTAAGTTATGAGTTAATGTGTGTAGTATCCGTAAAGGTAGTTGCAAGGAGAGGCCTGAAACGTAGATTATAAAATATTGGTTTAGTCAATAGAGGTGTTGTGGAATACCTACCTAGTTGGGTTGGGTGCGTGTATTAGCGGGCGGGAAAATATTCGCCTCCTGTCTTTAATAAAAGACTATTCAGTCACTAAGGTTAGAATAATTCCGAATTTTATGGCAACAGAAGGCTTCATATTTGCTGTTTTAAAGCGATGATATGATGGAATTAGATACATGAGGAGATTGTCTAAAATAGAAGGTTCTGAAGGTGGATTCTCTGGACCAATCTGCGGAGGTGAGGATCTCCGTTAGGGAGCCCCCAGATGTAAATGCAGACGAGGTGGCTGCGCCTCTCACTGAGTGAGGACCAAAAAATGGATCGATGCCTGCTAGGGCTAGAAGCCATTTGATCCAACGAGCAATCGGGGGGCATGACACTGGCTTGTGAGGTCGAACGTAGGACACCAGTAGGGGGCCCGTTTGTGGTCTAAGGTCCTTAGTGCGAAGGATGTAGTGTCGGACGCAACTAGCTAAGCAGAGCATGGGTTTGTCGTGAAAGTAAGGGTAGCTTACTGTAGATGAATTGGTTTTGGTGCGTCGGGTAATGGAGAAATGTACTCCCTCAGGGGTAAAGTCCACGGCATGGATGTCAAATACTCTGATATCCGAAACTCTTCTAAACGTTACCAAACAGAGCAGTAGTGCCAGTTTGGCCGAAAGTTGTCAAAGAGAGAGTTCTCCATTAGGGGGCAAAGTCTCCAAAAAGGATAATACCATAGTAACATCCCAAAATGTATTATATTTCGGAACCGGGGGTCTCGCTTGCAAAAGTCTATATATGGAGGGGTGTTTACCAACCGCGGAGTTGTCAACGGGGTTATGGGCTGCCGAAATATCTGAAAGGAAAACGTTAATTGACCGATAGGACTTACCCTGTTAGAGATATTCCTGTCCAGGCAGAATTGGTATAATTCCTTTGTCAGATCTGATAGCATTTTTGATTGGGAGCCACCTAGGTGGTTCACGTATCGTACTGCTGAGACATTGTCCATCCTCAGGACAAGACTGCAGTTGTAGGCTTCCTTGGCAAAACTATGGATTGCGAAAGAACCAGCAATTAATTTGAGGCAATTGATGTGAAGAGCCTGTTCTGATGGGGACCAGAGGCCTCCGGTAGAACGTTCCAAGCAGGTGGCACCCCATCCGAGGAGGCTGGCATCTGATTCCAGAATGAAATCGGGTTGTCGGACGAAGATAGCCCTTCCATTCCAGGCTTCCATATGTTGAAGCCACCAGTGGAGTTCCAATTGGACTTCGTCTGTGAGGAAAATCTGTTGTTCGTAAGATGTTGAACGATGTAAGTAGTGTGTTTTCAAACGTTGCATTGCCCGATAGGGTAGTGGGGCTGGAAATATTGCTTGGATTGAGGCGGAGAGTAATCCGATTGTGCGGGCTAAATCCTTGAGTCGGAGATATGGTGAAGCCAGCAATCTCCGGATGTCTTTTTTTATGGTTTTGATTTTTGTAGCAGGGAGTTGTAGAACTGCCTGAATCAAATCTATCTGAAATCCCAGAAACTGTATCGTCTGGGACGGAGTTAGAGATGACTTTTGCAGGTTGATGACAAAACTCAAATTCTGGAGGAGAGCCGAAGTCATATCTGTATGGAGACGTAGAGTCACCTTGTCTTGAGCCATGAGGAGGATATCGTCCAAGTATATGATGGACCGAATCCCTTGTGAACAGAGTAGTCCCATCACCGGTTTCATTAGTTTGGTGAAACACCAAGGTGTGGAGGACAGTCCAAAGGGGAGACAGGTGAACTGCCATAGTGTTTTGCGCCAATGAAATTGGAGGAAGGTGCGGTATTCTGGTGTGATTGGTACCGGGAGGTACGCATCTTTGAGGTCGAAGCGGGAGAACCAATCTCCCTCGCAGAGGAGGTCTCGTAGTAGATGAATGCCCTCTATCTTGAAATGTCTGTATTTGATGAATTTGTTCAGCTCTCTTAGATTGATGACAGGTCGGAACTCTCCCAACTTTTTCTTGACTAGAAACATGTTGCTCACAAAACCTCGTGGGCTGAGGGATTGTTCGACAGCACCCTTGGAGACTGGGTCGTCGACTTCGACCTGAAGGGACATGTCGTCCATTTGAGACATTCTGAGGGAAGCAGGTAAAGACATTTGAACTGGGTTCTCTGTAAATTCTAGGTGGAAGCCAGACATGGTCTGAAGGATCCACGGGTCCTGTGTGAGCCGAGACCACTGTTGGAAAAAATGGATTAATCGGCCTGCTATAGGTATATGAAAAAAATGAGAGTCCGTTACCTGTAGGAGTGTGACCGCGGAGGGAAGCAGATCCACGTTTTCTAATAGAGCCACGAGAGGGGAAGAAGTGTTTGTGGTGGAAACGGGTATTGCCCGAGTTCCAGTGTTCTGAAGGTCGAGGCCTGTAGCCTGTGAAGGCAGCTCTGCCAGCCAACCGGCCTCTGTAATGGCTGGCTCTCCCGGAAAAACGCTGGGTCCTAAACACCTTGCGTAAACAGGATTGCGCTTTGGTAAGCGTCGTAAACACGGCAACATGTTTGCTCAACTCCTTTATAAACTTGTCTCCAAAAAGCATGCCTTGTGCCTCAGGGCC